CGCACTTTTCGCACTTTTTGCACTTTTCGCACTTATTGTTTTTTATTTATTTATTAATTTTTATTATTTGTTTCATTGGTTTTTGATTCGCTTGTATCCGATATTACCGATATTGCCGCCGGATTCTTAGATTCGATTTTGGTACTTTCGTTTGTATAGTTTACACTGCTTAGGAGGGATCTCGTTAACGACCTTAGTGCGTCCTCTCACTTCAAGTGCTAAAACGTGACTGTATTTTAATTTTAAATAAGTATAAATTAAATAAAACATCAAAAATATTATTCACATTAAATTTTATAAATTCGCAAAATAATCTTGTATTAATTGATTTTGAAACATAATGGGATCTTGTGGATGAGGAATAACAGGGTACTCCAGTCCATTGGCATTAATATCAGCCGGCAATGGTGGCTCTGGTTTATTCATGACTCTAGCAATATTATGTAGTACAGTTGCAGCTGGAACAATGAACAAAACTGTATCTAGTTTTAATCTTAAGCCATATGCCAACACTGGAAACCTTCTTTTCCAAATTTCAAATACTCTTCCTATTATATTTCTGGTTCTCACACAGTAAAAAAAGTAGTGGAAGAATAGTTTTTGCTAAACTTCGCCCATTTTCTATTAATAAACGCAATTTTATTATTATTAATATTATTATTATTTAACTCTAGTAAACTCTTAAAACATTCTAAATATATGCGACGACTTTTTTTAGAGTTATATATTCACACTGATGATAGTGTAATAATTTATGTTTTTATATTATAACGTTATTTAGTGTTACATTTAATTTACTAGTGCATAAATTTAACACTACTAAGAGTAAAGATTACTCTTGGTGGTGACCCGGAAAAAATATTTTTGTTAATTAGAGTACAATTATACAGTATTTTTATAACACTCTTATTAATGAAATATTTAATATTTAAGAGTAAGAAAACTACTCTATTTTTAGTTAATATGCATACCTTTTTTACTCTGATTAGTAAACTTTACTTTCAAATCGACTAAAAATTACTCCATCCTTAGTTGTTATAAAGAGAGGAGAATTAAAGAAATAAATTATATTTAAATTTAAAACGTATATTTTGTGAAAAATAACAAGAATAGAAAATCCTATAACTAACGTTAACATAAAAATAAAAACAATCATAATCATAACCGCCCTCGGTGGTGTAGTAGTCAGCACTGCGGGCCTCCAACAAGGTTTGTTATAAAAAATTTCCTGGATTTTTAACAAAAAATTAAATTTTCCAAAAAATATTTATTTCTAACAAATTTTCCATTTCTTTGTATTAAACATGCACCTATTTGGGATAAACGCATGTGCTCTATTGCAACGCAACAATAATTTCGTCACAACAAAACCAACTGGTTATCACAACAGAAATAATTTGCCCAAAACGAAGATTTTATTGTCGTAAGTAATATCATAATGGCATTTAATTTTTCCGAAAAGAATCGAAAAAACACGTTACTAAGTGATATTTTAACAAAAAGCATGAGTGCTGGTGGCAACAAAAATCCGAGTCGAAGAGGAGGATTTTTGCACCTGCACGAATGCTTTTTGTTAAAAAATATTACTTAGCATTGAGTTTTTTCGATTTTTTTCACAGGAAAAATTAGATGCCCGAATGATATTTGACAAGACTATTTCATGAGTAACATTTAACAATTAAAATATAAATTGCAATTTTTGTTGACAATAGCTGTCAAGTTTTGCAGCGGGTAAACTCGAAAAAACTGCTGACAGGTGCTGTCACACAGTTTTTTCACCTAGAAACCATTTGTAATTCAAAATTGCACGTTTGTGATTGGTGGAAATTAAGACGAGGGAAATAGTCAGGAATAAGCCCTTTATTAGGAGAGGCTGGTAATTGAAAATCTAAATAAATTCAATAAAACAATTTTAATTTATAATATTAAAACAAAATACAGAGTATAATATAGAGTATAATATGTATTTTAAACAAAAATTATTTAAAAAGTTATCTCATACTTCAGTAATCATGTACCAACCTAAACATAAAATATAAAAAGGTAACAAAAGTCAATAAATTAGTCCTGATTAAAAAGAATAATAGTTTTATGTCCTCCTGTAATTGAATGAATTTTACTTAAATATAATTTTATTATAAATGGGATAATTACACATGTAGTTATAGTTAATAAAAATTGTGGCAATATTTTTCGATGGTTAAAAACAATAAAAGATCTTTTGTCCTTTTTGCCAATTTTTATATAGATAAAGGGGGCCTTCGTACTTTTCTTAAAATTATATGAACATGTGACATTTAAATAAATAAGTACTTACCATTAATAGTTCACTTAACACACACTGCATTTTTATCTGCATAAAATTATGCACTGCATGTATTTCATACACTTGTTTTCTGGTTCGTAACAAAGAACAGTTATTTGGTTCATAATGTCTGCCTTGCGTTTGCTAGAATCCCTAACAAAAAATATTTTAAACAAATAAATATTTGGTAAAAACTGATTTCTTTGTGTCAAAATGATATATTTTAATAATCTTATATTTAATTTGATAAGATGTTTACAACTTAATTTCATTTAAATTAATGGCAAAGTAACAACTAATTGACCAATATTGTCACAGAAAATTGTCTTATTTCTAACCAATTTACGTAAGTTGTGGCAAATACATAATATAGAAGACCCATGTTTGTAATGACCAAACTGTTTTATCGGTGTACCCTTGTATTGCCAAAATTGTAAACAATCTGTTATATTAATTACGAAATAAATATTTTTGATTTGATTTGATTTGACTGCGGACTACCAAGCTGAGAGGTCATGGGTTCGAATCCCACCAGGGGTATGGCTGTTTATTTGTGTGGGTACTTCTGTAATTGGGCCTGGTGCCTGTTGGAAGCACATTAAAATAATAAAATTAAAATAATATGCTTGTATTTATGCTTTAGTCCTTACTTAAATTAAATTAAACTATCGCAAAGTAAGAGAGTAACGACAAAAAAATTCAACAGGGTTTTTCTATTTAAAAATATACTTTCAGGAAAAAACAATTAAATACGATGGTTTAAAATTTTAATGATGTACATTTTAATTGGCGTGATTAAAAATATTCGTATTGTATAATTGAAAAATTTAAATTAACTCGAACAAAAGTTTATTTTAAATCAATGGATTGTTTGAATGGGATTTGTATAATTGGCTCGTTTCTGTTATAACGTTATTATGGGTTTTAGACATAATGCCTATTCACATTCCAAGTTTTTACAATAAAATATACCTATTTAATATAAATGATAATAAATAATGTACTTATAAGTAGGTATACCTATTTTATACGTATTATGCGGCGACACCCACGCACAAGGGAACCATTAAACACCCCTTGAAAACCGCACTAAACTAGTTAAGACGAAAATCTAAATTAATATTTTTCCTAATTAGGTAGGTATGTTTAAAAGATACAGGGTGATAAAGTGTTACTTATCATATCAGTTTTTTAATATAACTTTCACTTTGGTAGACTTGGAAAGTTGATATTTTGCAAACAGTCACTTACTACCAAAACACATATTCACACATAATTACAATTGTTCGAGTGAACGCAGTGTCGTAGAATCAGGGGTTGCTTAAGCTTATTGTCCCATACAAACTTTGAGGTTAGGTTTTTATACCATTTGATGCAATTTTTCGATTACTCAGTTTGGCTAATATTAAAAAGGTGTACCTTTCAAACTCCGATAAAATAAACCGTTTCCGAGATTACAATAATTGTTATATCGCATTAAAGGATAAAAGGTATACTTATGATAACAAATTTTTTAATTGAAAAAACTACATTTTTTTTATGTGACGGTCAGGGCAAAAAGTCTCGAGGCTCATGGAATAACCTTTTTAGTTTTTTCAATTAAAAAATAAAATTTGTTATCATAATATGATAACCTTTTAATCCGCAGTCAGGTTCCAGCTCTTGACAAGGCATGACGCGTAGTGCAGCGAGAGCTCTTAAAACATAAAAGTTTAAAACCCACAAATAATTTTTTAAAAGTGCAAACCAATTATAGTGAAACAAACAATTTTCCTAAAGTACAAACTAAAATAGTGTAATGGTCAATAAAGAGTGAAGTGTTAAGTGATATGAAAGTGACAAATTTCAGCTTCTGGTCCTATAGGTTTACCACCTGTCATTGGACGCTTTTCACTAGACAAACAAAATAGGGGAAGTGGCCATCCGCAAAAAATTGATAAGTAGGTATCCTTAAGCATATGCATGACCTAACACATAATTTGCAAATTAAACATGACAGATATCTTTAAAACCCTAAGAAAGACACACTGCTTAAACTCTAGGAAAAAGACAATAAACATCAGTAACAATAGAAACATTAGAAAGACAATACTAACCAAACACCATAAAATAATAAAGAAAAAAGACAAACAATAAAAAAAAAACTTCCCAATCGGACTTTCGCGGTGATACACCAAAGCTGGGTAGGACAATAAATCTGTCAACATCAAATGCGTAACGCATGAAACCCAAACGAGACCAATAATAAACATTTGAAACACAGAATAAACTTACACTCAATAAATCATTATAACCCGAACATAGTAAAATAATAAGCATAATAATCAAACTCTATTGGATTTGTAAACACATTAGATTATAACAGATTAATTGCGCTTGACATTTGTTTAACTAATAAATAAATGCAATACTTAATTTTGGAATTTAAGAAAAACAATACAAAACTCTACCACAAAACGTGCATGGGCAGCACAATAACTAAAAAACATTGTTAGAAATTTCGCACTATAGTATATATACGCACTATAGTGCGGCAAAAAAATTATCAAAAGCTACAAGTTACTGTATACAGTAATCCCAAATGATTGAAGTAATACTAACTGCCTGGTCTAGAGGGGTACTTAGATTTAAGTCGGCGTAATTGTCCCCCAAACACCAAACTGTCTATCCCTCCCGTCCTACCTCCTTCATTACCCTACTGGACGTATTGATCAAAATTGGTAAAAATATTATCCAGCAAAGAGGCAGTTGACTTTGTGACTCTTGTGGGTTGAAATATTCTTTGCTCGAAATTAAAATTATGGAGAATGTCCATAAATTGAACTTTATCATTACTTTCCAGCAAAAGATTCACATTAAAATCTCCACAAATTGTGGTCTTAAAATCCAGGTATTTTACACTTATAAAATTCAAAATTGCTTCAAGTTGCTGAATAAAGATATCAAAACTGCCTAAACACGTTCTATATATTGATAATATTAACATTCTTTCTTTCTTGTTTGCCACACATGAGACTTCTAGTTGACCTTCGATGCTGCATTGTTTAACCTCATCTACTTCATGAAAGTCTTGTATATCTTCCCTTATGAGTATGCATGATCCTCCATGTATCATACTTTTCCTTGAATAGCAGGACACCATTTTAAAATGGTTAAGTACTATTGAATCAACCTCCTCTTCTCGTAGCCAGTGCTCAGTAAGACATATTAAATCAGGCACCATGTTAAGTGTGTTTAAAGTTATTTCAATGTCCAAGGTTTTATTTCTTAGACATTGAATGTTTTGGTGTAGTATTTTGAAACTTTTTGATTTGTTTATAGGATTTTCTACCCTCTATTACATCCTCGGTATCTCTCATCGGGTTGTTTTGTCCCACTTGGGGCTCTAGTCTCCTCAAGTTTAAAAACTTGTTTATCAAAGCTCCCTTGGGCCAGAAATTGGCATCCAAAATTGTGGTTTCAACTTCTGTAGGCACTCCTAATTTAAAACAACTATATTTGAGTGGTTTTTTGGTTGTAATCTTGATGCATTCGTGTTCTGGAATCCCATTTATTTTTAGGTAATCTTCGACCTCGCTTGCCTTAGTTTCCTTGGACAATTGGGATAGGAAGATCCAAGAATACTTTTTTGGTATGGCAATTTTCAGGTTTCCAACATTTTCCTTAGTGCCACTTATGGCGGTGGGTCGGGCTTTGGTATCAACTTTGATTTTCTTCTTGTTGTGCTGGACAACCTTCCAAGCTTGGTCTTTCTCCATATGCAGCTCAGACATTGCACTTTTTATGGCTTGATTTACTTGGCTGGCAGTAATATTTTGAGTTTTACCCTTGGTATTATTTTCGACAACGCTTGACAAGTTGTTGACAGTTGACTGTTTCTTCTGGCCTTTACTCCCAGCGGCTAACTTCACATGGGTGTCTTGCTCATTTGAAGTATTGGCAACACTGCTCTTAGTACTAACTTCTGCAGCCTCGTTGGTTTTGTTATCAACGTTGGCGGGAAATTTATTGCAATTACTAACCTTATGAGGGATATTTATTATCTGGCCCTCAAGAAGGCTTATTTTTTCTTTTAGTAGTACGACATTTTCCTTCAATATTGTGTTTTTGTCTTGAAGTTCCTCGACTAGTTTCCTTAACAATGCTTTCTCAATGTCATTTTCTTCACAGGTTAGGTTTTCATTGTTAATGTCTTGATTTGATTCATGCACGCAAACGGCCGATTTTCGAGAGGCTGATTGCCTCAAACATGCTGGGTGAAAAGATTCACTGCACTTAACACATTTCACTGCATTTTCCACTTTTTTGTTACAATGATTGCATATTTTTTCGATTTTTCTTTGATCCGTAAATTCGTCTGGCGGTTTCGACGGCGCCATCTTGATATTCACACTATGTGTGGGCCAGGTGCAGGCAAGCTCAAGGTTTTATACCATTTAAATTTTATGCAATTCTTTGCGAATTTACAAAAAAAATAATGATTTAGTGAACGCATGTAAAAGCAAAAATTAACATATCACATGGATATTTCACCAGAGATATATCAAGATCTGCACTGAACTACACGTTTTTGTTGATGCTCTTAAAGTCTCCAGTACTTAAGCTTTATTATCGAAAAAAAACTTTTGCCGAATTTTGCCTATCCAGGAGAAAACGCAAGATTTTCTGTGTGGTCTTTTACAATTTGATTCAAAATTAAGCTCTATTCGGGTACCGTCAAGTGGGGTAACTTCGGACGAGTTTTGAAGTTTTTTTTCAGGATATTAAAAAGTGGGAGGAGTAATAATTGGAAAGAAAAAATATATGTTCATTGATACTATGGAGTTGTGGTGTAATTGTAACACGATGCTGATTGCAATACTGTATTTATTTACAAATAAACTATTTACAATAAGATGGTAGCTGTTGTCTTCTATGATGTCGATTGTTGTGTTGTATGATGCAGACTGTGTCTTTGATGATGGTGTGCCTGGTTTTTATATGCAGAAACAGTAATACCCAAAAATACCAAAGCTTAAGCCAGGTAGGTTCTACAGTAGACGCTTGTTTACAAACTATAAACTTAAAATTTACAGGTAATAGTATTTACATAAGATATCTATTAAACAATAAAACAATTATTGTTGTGATTTAAATTTAATGTTGGGGAAGTTGAAATTTAATAGTGAGCAGATAACATATTTGCGTATTTACGATTATTGGGATTATAGGACTATTTAAATTTGGAATTTAATGGTGAGCTTAAAATATTAAATTTCGTGTTTGCCTTGGTTGATACCTGAGTACGGGCGAAATTGCCGCTACAGTACCCCCCTACCAGTAATTGCCGGAAATTAATTGATTCCTGCTTGGAGGCGCTCGGGAAATCGGACACGTCTTCCGTAACGTGTGACGTTCCTCGAGGTGAACGGTCCAGGCGTCTGAGTGGGTGGATGGTTCTGGGCATCCAGCGTTGGGATGTCTGCTTGGGGCATCTTGTGTTGAGTCATCTCGCGTTGAGGCATCTTGTGTTGAGGCATCTCGTGTTGAGGCATCTCGCGTTGAGTCATCTCGTGTTGAGGAGGATTAAAGCAGTTGTACGTTAGAGCTGTTGAACGTTAGAGCTGTTGAACGATAGAGCTATTGAACGATATAGCTGTTGAACGTTAGAGCTGTAGTTGTGGCCGTCATCCAGTGTTTGGATGATTGAGCTGTGACCGTCATCCAGCGTTTGGATGGTTGGTTAGTGGTATCCAACATTGTCAACTGTGGTTGACCTTAGTGCTGGAACCAGTGTGGACCGTGGCTGTGGATATTGGCCTCCAGTCTTGTCATACTGAGGCAGATATTAGTGCTGGACATCAGTGTGGACCGTGTTGTGCACCGCAGCGTAGTGGAGTGCTACGAAGCCCGCTACGTTTGCGAATGATTGCCGTAGGCCGGAAGCTTTGGTCTTCGTCATGTTGGTAGCACTGATTTCTTCTTCCACAAATACTTGCATGTTCGAATCACGTCGGGGTCACCAATTTATGGAGTTGTGGTGTAATTGTAACACGATGCTGAATGCAATACTGTATTTATTTACAAATAAACTATTTACAATAAGATGGTAGCTGTTGTCTTCTATGATGTCGATTGTTGTGTTGTATGATGCAGACTGTGTCTTTGATGATGGTGTGCCTGGTTTTTATATGCAGAAACAGTAATACCCAAAAATACCAAAGCTTAAGCCAGGTAGGTTCTACAGTAGACGCTTGTTTACAAACTATAAACTTAAAATTTACAGGTAATAGTATTTACATAAGATATCTATTAAACAATTGTTGTGATTTAAATTTAATGTTGGGGAAGTTGAAATTTAATAGTGAGCAGATAACATATTTGCGTATTTACGATTATTGGGATTATAAGACTATTTAAATTTGGAATTTAATGGTGAGCTTAAAATAATAAATTTCGTGTTTGCCTTGGTTGATACCTGAGTACGGGCGAAATTACCGCTACAATACCTTCTTTATACATATTTCAGATATAAATATTTTTTTAATAAAGGCATGTATTTTTTTTATTTAAACAAAAAGTGTCCGATTTTCCCCTCCCAGGTGGGGTAATTTCGGACATCACATATGCAGGTAAATCGAAGTAACCCCGTGCATTTGGCAAATTCGGACGCCAAAAATATTAAAATTTAATTAAAAAAAATTAATTAAAAAAAAAATACACGACATTTAAATAAAAACGTTTATTGACCATAACAAACTTTTTTAAGCAAATGGAAAACAAAATAAACAATATCAAAACATATACATAAAATATATATACTTTAAAAATATATATATTTCTTCTTAAATTCTTGGTTGTGTTATAGATGTGGATATAGAAATGGACTATCTCCATAATATCTTTTATATGAAGGGGAAACCCCCACTCCACCATTTTTTTATTCCCTCATCAAAAATATTTTTTCTTCATATACTTAAAGCCTTAGAACGTCCAGAATAACTAGTGTGTTTATTATTAATTTTGTCGGAAATGGTTGATTTTGGCACCCCATACTTTTCGACCGCCCGTATACTTAACTTTTGCCTTTTAACGTCGCTAACCACTGAATATATTTTTTTTGGCATTATAGCTTAGAACAAAAAACAACAGGAAGGAGCATTTAATAAATGACCTTGGGTCCAAAGTGGAGCTTCAATATGGCGGATAGTTGTTTCCGTTTGACAGTGGCGTAGTAAATACAATTGAAGTTTAATTTTTATAATAATTAGGTTAGTATCAGAAAATATGATACGCCTATGGTTTTTTCTATGATGGTTACGTTCTTAGGTTATGGTTATGTTCTAAGGTTACGTTATTTGACATTGATTTATGTTTAATATTTACAACTAATTATTTTAAAATATACCTACAATCAGGCCAATTCACTAACATGAGTCGTTAACGTTAACCACTAGAATCAGTGGTTATCAGGCAATCCGGCCAATCGGGCAGTTTAAATATAACGATAACCACTGATTCTAGTGGCTAACGTTAACAACTTATGTTAGTGAATTGGCCTGATTAAGTAAATAAATTAAACGTTAACCAAAATACTCACCTATGAAATGTAAATGAATATTTTTAATTTTTTGTGCTCAAGGAGCAACCACAAGCTGCACAACTAACCATAATTTGTTTTTACACATTAAACACTAATATTTATATCTTAAACTTTAAATATTTACACTTAAACGAGAATATCAAATACAATATTGTCTAGAAACAATGAAACGCTTATTTAAAGTTAATTTAACCAGAAAAACAATATAAAACACCGACAAACACATAAAACATTCAACTTTGACAAATATAGCATCACAAATGTGTCATAATTTGGAGCTTGCAAATGGCCGACTTCCGTCGCAATTTTAGTACGGCTAAAGAATGACAAGACTCCTTCCTGTTGTTTTTTGTTCTAAGCATTATAGTACTTATATGGCCTTCCCCTCAATATTTTTTTGTAGTTTCTTACCATTTTTAGGTGTCCGAATTTACCCTACAGTACAACTACCTATTATAATAATAACATATATAAAATTGTTTGCAAACAAAACTTTGCAAACAAAACTTTGCAAACAACACTTTGCAAACAAAACTTTGCAAACAAAACTCAAATTTGGCCAAAAGTTATGTTATACCTCAGTTTAGAATAACAAATGCCTATTTTAATCCATGTTATTACTGTTAAAGATATACACTAGTTATAAATCGTGATTTCTATGAATAATTCATAGAAATCATTTATAATTTATGTTTATTTATAAACTTACCTTTATGACAAAATTACACCACTATAACAACGAATTGCCACCCTAATTTAAAGTTTGTACTACAGTGATCAGATTTACAATGATAAAAAGTTCAGATGCTCATCACGAGTGCAAGTAAATTTGATTTTACGCCCGGTTGTCCGAAGTTACCCCACTTGACGGTATTAGTTGAAAGGTTATTAGGCCTAGATTGTAAAAGACTTTTTGAATATGTGATCTGTCATTTTGAGGCAATTTGAGTGGTTTTAATGGATTTTTAAAAATTTCTTTTCTTTAATCATTTAAGCTGTGATTCCTATAAATTGGAAGAGTAATTTTAAAATACCCTGAAAACAAGAAACATTTATTATTAAAAATCAAATTAGTTCAGTTTTTTTACATATACAGTGTGACTGTGCGATGTTTGCGACTCACCCTGTAAAATCTTTATTAATTGTGCAATTATTATATAATATATTATATATATATATATATATATATATATATATATACAGTGTGTCCCGCTTAAGACCTTACCACCCTCGTAAAATTTGCATTTTTTAACCGATCTTCGTTAACTTTTTTTTTGTTGGATAGATCTCTGAAAAAGGCTTTAATCACATATGTTACTTGTTTTGACCACTAAACTCATGGCCAACTGAGATCTCTTTAGGGGGTCGAAATTTCGAAAAGTACTATTAGGGATTTTTT